GGCAATCAAATGTTTAATGTTTTTTTTATTGATCTTTATTGGAAATTGTGTAATTTAATCTCATTCCTTACTTGTTAAGCTATTGTAATAGGTATATTTTTTTAGTCTGTAGGTTTTAATAATTACCACATTATCAGCAATGACAAATTTTCACGCACACCTTTCTTGTGATCTTGTAACTTGAATGCCAATTTATATTTGACTCTGAAAACCTTTTTAATTTATTCTTAAACCTCGCTTTAACATTCATTCAGTATTTTTGTGGATAACTGTCAAAATCGTCTTGTCAACACACTCGTCTGGTACCCTGTTGTCTGACATGAATAATCTGAGGCTACCAGTTTATAAATACTGTATGACTTGATAGGTGTGCTTACATATCATCACAGACCTCATTATTTCTGTACAGGCAAAAATGGTTGTTAAAAAAGTCTACGATTACTATTATTGCACAAAAAGATACAAAAATTATATATTGAGAGAGTTAGGTGGATGCTCATCATGACATCCCCGTGAGTACGATCTCTGTAAATACATGTCGGCTGGGAGAGTACAATCACCTGAGCACTGATTACCCAAGATAAGATTTATATAAGGTCGAGGTATAAATAAAAGTTCATCTGACAGAACGCAGAGGAAACCGTGAAGAAAGCTTACCATTTAATAGGAATCTTAAATCATATCTTTGAATATAAAGGTAAGAGTGCTGGTTTTGCTCAACAAATCACTCGTACGCCCCCACCTGGTCTATTGCATAAAAGCAGGGAGGCCAAACATTCATTTTGACGTAACATCACCAGAAAATTTCAAACAAATTATTCTTTAAATAGTAAGCTACCTGGATTATCCACTTAGGCTGAGGCCTTAGTACTAAAAACAATTCTTCGAAAAACATATAGCAGGGCGGACCTCATGGTTTCAAAATTCTGAAAGGGGTGGGAAGCATAAAACTAAATCTGCTCTTAGATGGCAAGCGTTACAAGCTCAAAAGGTCATATTTTCAAGCTCGGGACAGACCCCAACATTTGTGTAGGTGGAGGACTGGACATTTTGTGAACGCAATATCTTGAAATAAAAATGGACATTGATGAAACGACACAGTACAGTATATATACTGTACATGTCCCGTTATGATCTTGGCTTCTAGGGCAAGTAGGAAATCCGTATAGTTCCTCATTTTTGGGGGGGTTGTAACCCTCTTGTCTCTAGCGACGGGTAACCTTCAACATATTAACCGTCTCATAACGAATTATATCTACACCTGTATAAGTGTTATCTTGAGTTGACATTCCTTATCGCCACTAAAAGGTACTGTACTGTACTGTACTCAGACGGAATAATGTTCACTTGAGTACACATGTACAGTACAGTATTTAGAGCTTAGCTGTGTACATGTTATACTTTTCCTACCACTTGCATATTATTTAATAGAGGTGACAAGTACAGTACATTAGGGTACAACACTACTGTTAGTGGAAAAGTAAATTTTTCGCGCCAAGAGCACACACAGTATTCAGGTAATCTTATTATAACTTTGTTGTTAGTATCGACAAAGTTTAAGAAACCATTCCATGTACAATTCACATGTCACATCACTCACATGTGCACACATTGTCACAATTACCATGACATAGCAGGCGGGCGAACCGCAATTTTATGTTGAGAATGAGTAAGGTGTCGTGTTTCTTCCCAGAGGGTCGTGGGGCTTCCTTGTGTGCCGTCTACAGTCTACCTGGCACATAATCACCTGTATGGACCTCTACACACACTCGCACATGCGCGTGCGCACGCACACTATATATATATATATATATATATATATATATATATATATATATATATATATATATATATATATATATATATATATATATATATATATATGCTGATAACCACAAGGAAAAAGAAAACACGAAGTTCCCAAGCGCCTTCATGTAATTCACATCTTCAGGGGTGAGTAGCGCTTGGGAACTAAGTGTTTTCTTTTTCCTTGTGGTTATCAGCATATACCTGGATTACGCGCACCTACAGTGATTTACTATATATATATATATATATATATATATATATATATATATATATATATATATATATATATATATATATATATATATATATATATATATATATGTATATGTATGTATGTATGTATGTATGTATGTATGTATGTATGTATGTATGTATGTATGTATGTATGTATGTATGTATGTATGTATGTATGTATGTATGTATGTATGTATGTATGTATGTATGTTTCAGAAACACATGCATATATGTACACACACATACGTACATATATGCACACACATGTTCACATGCATGCATACACACATACACATCACACACGGCACAAACAGATATTGCACACCACACACACATAATAATAATGATTAGACAAGAGTCAAAAGGCAGTAAAGGAATTAGAATGTCCGAGAAAGCCTTGTTAAAGCTGCAGAAAATGTACATTGATATGATATGTACAGTCACTCCAAAAGGTATTTTTACGATTTTGTGCAAGACTGTAGGAATTCGTGGCATAATGTTGTCTAGCACTCAGGATGGATGGAAACTCTAATGTGGTTTTCTTGTATAATATAAGTTATATAATAGACAGTCTGGTGCTGGAGGTGCCATGTGGTGAGGGGCTGCTCAGTAGAGACGTTCGGTGAGTAGCGTGTTGAAGGAGGTAGATGTGCAGGAGCTTCATTAGAGAAGATGTTGCCTGTTGCTGGCCTCCTGGTTGAATGAAAGCTGGACAGCGTGGAACTTGCTGGAGGAGGTGTTGCGTGTTCAGGAAGATGGGCCAGAATGAGAAAGCTGGTTGGCGAGGAAGCTCAGAGAAGGACAGCTGGTGGGTCGCCATGCTCGCTGGCGGGAGCGAGGACCGCCAGGCAGGCGGAGGAGAGGCGAGGGCCGCCAGGCAGCGGCGGAGGAGGAGGAGGAGGTGTTGCTTGTTCAAGAAGAAAGGCTAGAATGAATCTCAATGGAGAGACAGAGCTTATATACCCAGCAGCCGTGAGCCCTCTATGAGTCATGTTGGGAAAACCCGAGAAAGTCGCCGGTCTTTTGGTACCGTTGCTAGGTTACCGTAACATCTGGTGTCGCCGCTCGTTTGGTTGCTAAGGAAGGCGTCGCAGGTGGGATGCAGCTACGCAGTTTGTAGGGGAGACGTCCACTACAAGACAATATGACACAACCGACGAAGGAATTTGACCTTACCAAGACAACAGGACTGCAGTGTTCATCTTGAAATTCATCGGACCCCTCTGTAAAGATACGTTTTGGAGTGAGTGTACATTACTGTACTAATCTTGTATTTATTCTTTTCACTAGTTGTACAGGGGATGGTATGAGGTACGGGTTGTTTGGGTTCTCACTCAGGTTGGGATGGAGAAAGGAAACTCACAATGTGCTCTCTGTATACATGTTGTATTGGATGTACAATGCAGCTTGGTGCTGGGAAGGCAGCATGGTTACAAGCGTGATGTAGAGAGAGCTGGTTGGTGAGGACGCTCAGAGGAGGACAAGCTTGTGGGTCGCCATGCTCGCCGGCGGGAGCGAGGGCCGCCAGGCAGCGGCGGAGGAGGTGGTGTAGCTTGCTGCGGCTATAGCTAGAAGAGAGAGGTAGGTCACCACGAGGTCAGGTCTTTTATAGCGGAGGTAGGCGTGGGTAGATAGTTGACCTCCGTCATGTAAGGCGGCGCTAGTTGACCCAGACCACGAGGCATACACTGGGGAATTAGCGGGGTCGGCTACTCAGCAACAAATAGCGTTTGTAGGGGAGAAATCCACTACAATACTCCCTCCTTCTCTCCAGGTGGTGTAGGAGACTTGTTGTCTGCAGGGTTGCATGGCACATGTGAGGCAGAACGGGCGGTGCATGCCTCATGTTAGACAACGGCGAGGGCGTAGATGAGCCGGCCGCTAGTGGAGGCAACTGTCTAGACACAAGATCTGTGGGAGAAGAGAGGGAGAAAGAGGGTTGTGGAGGCGAAGAATGTTGTGCTTCCCTCACGGTAGGTACAGAGTTGTCAGATGCGCCTGCTGGGGTGTGTGGGCCTGGGTCAGGAGCAGGGGTTGCGTCAGCAGAAGCGGATGAGGGCTCATGACAGCAGCTGGGTCCACGACATTAGCAGGGAGTACCTGAGGGAGAAAAGAGGGGTGTATGGGTCCGCACTCAGGCGCATGGGCTGCGTCGGGAGCAGGGGCTGCATCATGAGGAGCGGCAGGGGGTACTGCTGGGCCGGGGGCGGCGTCTGAGGCAGGACAGGTGTGCTGGGGTCGGTAGGACGTGGTGCTTGGGGCAGGAAGAGGAGCTGGTGTCTGCTTAGAGAAGCAGTGCTGCTCTAGGATGTCTAACCTGCGGTGCAGAGACAGTAGCTGTGGAGCCGATGAGAGCTGCTTCTGGGTGGATAAGCCAGTCTTCCATGTTGCTTGAAGACTGGGAGCGTGATCTGTTTCTCCTCCATCCTGTGTGAGTGCGAATCTCCGGGGGTCACCATTTGTGGGGTACGGGTTGTTTGGGGTTCAAGACTCAAAAATCACGATGTACAATGCAGCTTGGTGCTGGGAAGGCAGCATGGATACAAGCGTGATGTAGAGAGAGCTGGTTGGTGAGGGTGCTCAGAGGAGGACAAGCTTGTGGGTCGCCATGCTCGCCTGCGGGAGCGAGGTCCGCCAGGCAGTGGCAGAGGAGGTGGTGTAGTTTGCTGTAGCTAGAAGAAGAGAGAGGTAGGTCATCACGAGGTCAGGTCTTATATAGCGGAGGTAGGCGTGGCTTAATAGTTGACCTCCGTGATGTATGGCGGCGCTGGTTGACCTAGACCACGAGGCATACACTGGGGAATTCGCGGGGTCAGCTACTCAGCGACAAACAGCGTTTGCAGGGGAGAAATGTACTACATTGGGATGGAATGTCCTGTCCTGTATCGTATGCAATATTGAAATGTAAAAAATATAACAAATAAACTAATGTAATTGATTTGAGTTCCTTCCTGCAGGATCCACAAGCCACGGGACTCCCTCTTCTCATGGTCGTCAGGTTTTGATCGCTATGAGGGCTTTGTCAACTGGGGGGCGCTCATCCTCATGCTTGGGGGCACTCGGCTCTTCCTCGAGAATGTCATCAAGTAGGAAACTCTACATTACAGTACAAGTATTGTTATTAATTAAAAAATTTCCTTGTAGCAATCACTGTTCTTAATACTTTGGTTTAATTGTTATGTGGGCCCTTAACCATTTGATTCTTGGGGATAATGGAATATGAAGCAATTGATGGGTCAAAACAGGACCTTGGGGTGTTGTAGGAAGGGTGAGAGTTCCAACCAGGGAATGAGACATGGTGCAGGCTACCTACAGGACATGGGTTGGAGAGTAGGTCACAAGCAAAGTGTAGCATAGGTGATGTACAGGCCACAGGGTGAGATAAGGAACTGTTCAATGTAAGCAGAGTGCAAGACTTGAACAAAACACAGGATAATGTGCAGGTCACAGATGAACGAAGGTGATGTGCTACTCACACAAAATGCAGACTGAAGTGCAACTCATAGCCAAATGAAGGATCAAGGTACAGTTAATGCCTCAAAAACAAACCCTGAAATGGAAATCCACTTTGACAAGAATTGGCAGGAGTTGTACCATTAGTGATTGATGAGCCTAAGATAGATGTAGGTCCTCAGCTTTGTCCTGGACATTTTACATAGGGGTAGTGGGTTCAACAGCAGTCTAGTTCCACGATGATGTCAATGAATGCTGAAAGATGCCTGGTTGGAGAATTTGGGACAATTCATGAACCCAGCACAGACACCAACCTGTCCACCTGTAAGGCAACACTTAATGCTGCATGGTAATTTGTTTGTAGTGGTTGCGGGTCACAACAAGGGTTTAAATATTTTTGATGGTCTAAATCTTTACAGGTATGGTGTCCGCATTAACCCCTTGTCATGGCTGTTGTGGATGAAACACGAACATGAGACTGATTATTACTACCACACAACTGTGTTTCTTGTGGGCAAGTTGTTAATAACCAATTACTGTACTGTATTTAGTTTGAGCATTTTGAAAGTTACTTAAATTATTCTTTCTTCTTGAAACAAACCCAGTGTACACTACCCAATACTGTACTGAGTTAGATCAGAAAGATTATGAACAATAGTTATTAGTGCTTTATTTTTTATGCTAATATGTCTTTATTTCTCTATTAATACAGTATAATGTCCACTCTTTGAAACTTGAGTTCATGTAAACGAAATAATGAATTGGTTACGATGATTTACTACTTTTGTTCAAATAGCTGTTCTCAGTTTAGTTAACTGTATTGCTGTTATTTTTAATGAATTTAGTTTAAAATTATGAAATAAGCTACTTTGAGGTGTCATTCTTGGGCCTTGGGTGAGCAAATTGTAAGTGAGGTTTTGTTCAGCAGGTGTTTACAGTACACTACTGTATTTATTACATTTTGGAAAATAATTGCAAGTTTTCCAGTTTTCTTTTTTTTTCTTTTTTTTTGGCATAGAAATACTGTATGTATCTATAATTTACATCAGTCTCGAAACCTAAGGGTGTACTTCAGAGAAGTAATTAAATCTTTGAGTAATCCTTCAAGACAATTATACTCGACAATAACATATTACTGTACATATACGGGTACAGGTACAATTATTATTTTCCCCTTAACAGCTGCCAACCTCCACATATGGTTTGCCTACTACCTGGAGCACCTCTTAAGCAAGGTAATGCCACTAATATAGTACCTGTAGCACTATAAACTATCCATCTGCACTAACCATAAATATATACCTGTACAACCTTTTGAATGCTCTTTTACACTGTCAGCTGCTTGTTTCTGAATGAAGCAGTGCCTAAGTTAACATGTACACTCACCCACTCTTTTGTCCACAAAGTTACTAACCAGTGCACCCAGTCATTTGTCTGCCAGTCTGTCCAGTGTACATCTCACAGATCCCTGGCTGCTGATCCATACACACAGACAAAGACTTGCATAAATCACAACAGTAGACACTCCATTACAGTATTTGACTTAGGACCCTGGACTTCACATACAGTACCTGGTAAAACATAAATATTCCATATCAAGTCACAGAATGTCGAAAATTACAGCAAGAAGATATTGTTTTAATAAATTTCTTGACTTGGGTTGATAAAGGGAAGAAAGGTTGTTAGAAGGCATCATTTTATCACCTAATTTTAGTTTTAAAAAAGTTGAAAGGAATTAGAGCCTATAATGTTTTGTGTTTGGCCTTGGAGCCAAAATTGGATTGGGAAAAGATTTTTAGTAGTGTATTATTATTGGATGCATACCTATGCTTTAACATTTAAGAAGAGAGAAGAGTTATTGTAAAAAAAAAATCAACTCTGTGGGAACAAAGTCTTGTACTGTACAGTATACAGTATAATCATGGAAATACATACTGTATATTGTACTGTACTGTACAGTATTATACTATAAAATAAATTGGTAATTCCAAGGTACTGTACAGTAGTCACAATTATGAATGCAAATCGGCTTATGCATTTTGTAAATGTTTACTCACTTTTACACAAACATTTTTATGGTTGTAGGCAAATATTTTTACAAAATTTGGTTTCTTGTAGTTGCATTACTTTTATTTATTTTTTGTTTATTTTTTATCCATTAGTAACTGCACAAGCACTGTTAAAGAATGTTTTACCCTTAACCCTAGGACAAAATCCGTGGTAATGTCGAGATTTACGTACATGCAGCACATTTGGGAATCATCCTGCTCATACCAGTGGTTGTTCTTGGTATCTGGACAGACATGTTCAGTCTCTGTGAGTGCATTTACCGTTTTATCTAACATTTGGTGGCTTTTTGTTTATACAGTGTAGGTATAATATTTTTAGTTGATCTTTATTTGTCATATTTTCTCGATGAATAATTTTTTCTTAATACTGTACTGTACATCCTTGCAGTGGGTCGAACAGTCATATGTGTGGTTTACACAGTTATGTTCTTGAAATTGTGGTCTTATGCCCAAGTCAACCACTGGTGTCGCTCAGAGAAATCTTGGAGGAAAAAACTGTCCCGGCGAAGAAGCTTCTCGTTCAGAAAGGCACAAGATAAGGAGAGTAAGTATATACCTGTATAAGTAACACTAAGAGAGAACTATTCTGTACTTATATGAATGTTATTATTGTTTGATACGAATAGATGAAATTTTTTTTAATATACATTACAGTACAGGGTATATATTGTAGCCTTTTTAAGAAACACAGGGGATATGTACACACAATCTAAAAACGATCTTTACAGATAGATTCGATGAATTTAAAATGACTCCTGTTGTCTTGGGTTGTTAGAATTTGCTTATTGTCTAAACACAAAATTTTAAGGATGCTTTTCTAATTGTGTGTACTGTATAGTGTACTGTACATGCAGCTAGTAACAAACCGACAGAGGAGACCAATTGATGCTTGGGATTTAGTGGGACACTCCTAGAGTTAGTTCAAGAACAAGATGTGTGAGTTTAGAGGGGGTTTTGTCACAGACCTTGAGGCTGCACTGCCAAAAATGTGAAAGCAATACTCCAGGTAAGGTTGGGCATCTTTTAAAAAGGCTAATTGAAATGGTATAATGTTGTTTATACAGTAGATTGGGGAGTTAAAAGATGTGTTGAAGGCGAGGGATTGAGTCTTGAGAATTGATTAATACTTTCCTGGAAAGATTGTGCAGTAATGTACTGTAATGGCATTATTTTGTTTGTGTGCTTTCTCAAGGACTGAAACTGTGCCTACAATACACCATTCACAGGGAGATACAGTGTACGCAGTCGCAGAAGACAACTCTATAGGCAACAGAGAGTAGCTAAGTACTGTTCTTTTTCTCTCTTTACTTTTTTAAATAGGCGTAGATCTATACACAGTCTGCACCCCCCTCCCCCCAGCCCCACAACAACAACAACCATGAGTTTGATATGTGATTACTGAAGGGAGACGTCGCATATGGAGGATATAGGCCTGACTAATGCACCGTTTAGGAAGTTACTAACTGCCGTAAAGCATGATGGCTGTTGCTGGTATTGCCCTGGCTGCATAATCAAGGTGAATGAAGCGATTGCAAACCATAAGGGAACGATTCTCTAGGGACGAAAATAGATGAAGCTGGAGCCCTGCTGGTTGACAAACTGGAGCAAGTTGGGAAAGAGATCCTTGCTAAGACTGAGGAAGTAGCTGATAGAATGGAGGTGATTGCTAAGAGGAATTATGCTGACGTATTAGGAGGGCCACGGGGGGGAGGGGGGCGGAGAGTAATGCAGAATCAGTACAAGTTCTACAACAGCTTGGGACTTTGAAGAAGTGTGTCGAAGAAATGAAAATTAACAGACCTACTGTTCGGGGAGAGGAGGAACACCAGGAACATCTCCAGCGCAGGAACAATGTAATAGTTTTTGGAGTCCCAGAGAGCCAGGCGGAGGGAACTGTGAGTAAGGTAACACACGACAAGATGCAGTTTCAAAATATTTATACAGAGGTTCTGAAGATTCCATCAACCCCTCAGGATGTGAGGAACCTGGGACAAAAGCAGGGGGCTAAGCCTCGCCCCCTCAGGATCACACTAGTGAGTGAGGAGGAGAAATGGCAGGTTATTCGGCAGGCAAAAAACTTAGCAAGGAGCGAGGCATTTCGGAGTGCATTCATTCACCCAGATCGCACGGTAATGCAAAGGGAACAGCACAAGAAGCTCCTGCAGGCCTTGAAGCAGAAGAGGGAGGAGTTGAGGAGGAATGGGGACAGGTGTACATGGGTTATACTCAGGGGGAGGGTAGTGGAAACAAGTGTACCGACACAGAGCCAGGGGGCAGCAGTGCACCCTCCACCCACTCAACCCCCCACCCGGGAGGCGGCACCAGCTCAGCCTACCGGACAGGAGGAGGCGAGCGCCGTGTAAACAATGACATTTCTAACCACACCCTGCAAAATACAGTGTACTTCGCAAATGCTGCAGCTTCTGAGAATGTGGGGGAAGCGGGTTTATTACTAAGAGCAGAGACGTTACCGAGAACAAATTCTGGCTTGAATGTCATGTACACTAATACTGACACATTCCTTGATAAGAGAGAGGAGTTTGAAACACTACTAAGAGTACACCAACCAGATATTGTAGGTGTTGTAGAACTGTTGTACAAGAACAGGAGAATCGACCCAGAGGAATGCGAGTTCAGTATTGCTGGATATGACTCATTTACGAACCTTTCTCAAGAAACTTGCAAGAGGGGTATGGTTATCTACACTAGGCAAGACCTTAGAGCCAACCAGGCGAGGGTACAGGGAGAGGATGTTTTTGAAGAAGTGGTGTAAAATTAAATTAAAGGGAGGGGACTTACTTATCGTCGGGTGTATCTACAGATCCCCAAACTGTGGCCCACTAAATCAAAGGAACTTAAGAACCTTAATAAGCAATGCGGCGATGCTCAACCCTAGCCACCTCCTTATCATGGGGGACTTTAACTATGGCGACATCGACTGGAAAACGAGTCCACCCCGAATGACTTGAATAACCCTGCTACTCTTTTTGTAGAAACTCTGAGATAATTTTCTGTTCCAACATGTTAGAGACCCGACACATTACAGAGGGGAGCAAACACCCAAGCCACTTGACCTCATCATAACAAACAAGGACGGTATGGTGGCCAAACTGGAAAACCTTGCCCCAGTTGGCACCAGTCACCATACAGTGTTGTCATTCAGATTTAACTGTTACCTAGTTCAGGATAAGGCAAGGCCAAGGTGCAAATATTACAAGGGAAATTACAATGGGATGAGGGAAGAGATGAGGGGTATCAACTGGCCTGACTTATTAAGGTACAAGAACGCAGACACTACGCTGAATATCATAACTAGTAAAATGACCCATTTGATCGATAAATATATACCCAAGACCAAACCCAGTGCTTCTAGGAATACGAGGGGATCCCTACACATGAACCATATGGCGGTCGACAAAATTAAGAAGAAAACCCAAAAATTCAAGACGTGGGTTGGGTCAAACGATGAGCAAGACAGGAGGATGTATGCAAGAGCCAGAAACCAAGCAAAGATAGAGTGTAGGAGGGCTGAAAAGGAGTTCCAGAGGCTGGTTGCAAGCGAGGTCAAGTCAAACCCAAAAGCGTTTTACCGCTATGCAAAGTCGAAATTGAAAACGCGAGTAGGAGTATCAGACCTGAGGCTGGTGGATGGTAGTTACGCAGATTCTGACCAGGATAAAGCTGAGGCATTGAACAGCTTCTTTTCCTCAGTGTTCACAAGAGAGGATGCAACTAACCTTCCTGCGTTTGAGGACAGACAGTTCGACACAGCACTGACCCACATTGTGTTCACAGAAGAGGGTATTAGAAATATACTGTCCAGGCTAAAGGTCCATAAGAGTCCCGGACCTGACATGGTGCATCCTAGAGTGCTAAGAGAGTTGTGCAACGAGCTTGCAGAGCCCCTGAAGATCCTGGTTTGTAAATGCCTGGACGAACAAATGGTCCCCGGTGAATGGAAAGCGACTTATGCGAGTCCTATCTTCAAGAAGGGCTATCGTCACTCCACGAACAACTATAGACCGGTGAGCCTGACCAGCATAATATGTAAAGTACTTGAGAGTATTATCAGAGATGCCGCAATGGAACATCTAATACGAAACAACCTTGTAAAAGATTGCCAACACGGTTTTATGCCGGGGAAATCCTGCTTAACGCAATTGCTCAAGGTATTGGATATTTGGACCCATATTCTGGAACGGGGTGGTAATATCGACAATATTTAGCTAGATTTTGCCAAGGCTTTTGACAGTGTACCCCACAAAAGGCTTAAAATCAAACTGGAAGGGTACGGAATTCGGGGAAATGTCCTAGCGTGGATAGAAGACTTTCTACATGACCGCAAGCAGTGTGTGGTGATTAATAGTACGAAATCGTCATCTGTACCTGTCACAAGTGGGGTACCACAGGGCAGTGTATTGGGCCTGCTGTTGTTTGTTTCATAGATGACATGCCTGATGTTGTACACTCCACCATACAAATGTTTGCCGTTGACGCCAAATTATTTCGGGAAATTAAGAACCAAGCGGACTGTGAAGAGCTGCAGAAGGATCTCTGTGGGCTCCAGGAATGGTCGAAGAAATGGCTGCTGAGATTCAATGTCACGAAGTGTAAGAGGATGCACCTGGGGCGTACCAACGGTAAGGAGGCGTATCATATGTCCCAACGGGATGAAGAAACTGCGCTAGTTGAGACTGTGTGTGAGAAGGACCAAGGTGTGTATGTTGACAATGAGCTGAAGTTCTCGGGCCATTGTGAGAAGAAGGTAAATCAGGCAAATAAATTATTGGGTCTTATAAGGTCATTCAGATATCTAGACGGTCCGTCCCTCATAACGATCTTCAGGAGTGAAGTGCTTCCCCATCTGGTCCCCGAGATATGCTAGGGACTGTCAGTTGGTTGAAAATGTTCAAAGGAGGGCCACCAGACTGGTGCCTGCACTTCGGCACCTCAGCTACCCTGAGAGATTGGAGCGCCTGAACTTGCCTAGCTTATACTACAGACGGGCAAGGGGGGACCTAGTTGAGATGTATAAGTATCTCAGGGGGCACTACTCAGTTGAGTGTCCTTACTTGGAGCTGGTGGACGCTCGCCCCACAAGGGGTCACAGCTCAAGATTGAAGAAGCCGCTAGTCCAGAAAACCGTGAGGGCAAACTTTTTTGGAGTGAGAGTTGTGAACTCTTGGAACAATCTACCAGAGAGTGTTGTGACGGCACCGAGTGTGAGCTCTTTCAAGACAAGACTTGACCAACACTGGAGTGGGTTCAGGTACATTCAGGAGCCGGTGCATGCCCAGTATTTGCCAACAGTGTGTGACAGAGACGTGACCGATCGCCCGGGTGGCTAGCGAGCCGATCTTTTGGTGAAGAAGATAAATGAAAAGGAAAAGTAATCAGAGACATGACCGATCGCCCAAGCGGCTAACAAGCCGATCAGTGGCAAAGAGGATAAAAGAAAAAAGAAAAGAAACTGTAAACGTGTTAGAAGGTTAAGTGTATATACCGGTAACTTTTTCTGGTAAATATCCAATACATTCATTCTTATAATTATTAATTGCATTCACATTGAAATTACTGTATGTATGATTTTTGTGTTCTTGAATAGTTGCTGAGATCAGTGAGGAGGCAAGTGATGAAGTGGCTGCACTCAATTTAACACAGTATCCAGACAACCTAACACTTCGTGATCTCTACTACTTCTTGGCTGCACCGACACTCTGTTATGAACTCAACTTTCCTCGGAGTCAGCGTATTAGAAAAAGGTTAGTTTAAATTATAAAATTCACTAATGGACTCTTAGTCAGATCCTAACTTTGGGAAAACATTTTTTCTTTTGTAATTAGGCCATCTTAGAAGACAAAACCTACCAATATTATTTTAACTTTCAATAAAATTGATTTATCAATATCTTTAGTTTTTCTGAACTCATTGGGAGAATTAATTTGGCTTAGTTTGTCAAATTTATACAGCTGTTGCAGATATTTTGGGGAAGCCTACAACAAGCCTTTTTATTAAAGAAGTGTCATCATCATATCTTATTCACTGAGGTGTCCCGTGCCAAAGACTAAAGACCTATTGTTATTATTGTCATGATTACTTGTTGGGAAGATTCCTTTCATTGTATAACATTCACTATGTAGTTTAAGGATTTTGTTTGCTTTTCCTATTTCTTGACAGATTCCTGTTGCGGCGAATGCTGGAAGTGATATTAATAACCAATATTTTATTGGCTATGTTTCAACAATGGATTATACCCAGTGTTAAAAATTCATTCAAGGCTTTCTCTGTAAGTTAAACAGTTTGTTGATATTGTCATAAAGTTATGCATTTACATTTGCTGCCTACCATATTGAAGACAAATGTCACATGCAGATTGTTTCAGTCACTGTTCATACAAATGAAATTCCACTGATCAGAGTTTATGCCACATTTTTTTAAATGGTTAGGTTTCTTTATCCTAACCAGACTTGCAGTAACTTATTTCCAAAGGAAAGGCTCAAGCTCTCATCAATAATCATTATTACATACACGAGTGGCCTTTATTGTTGACAAAGACCATCCTTACAATTTCAAAGATTTTCTTTGTACTTTTGAAAGTGTATGCTCAAGGTACAGGTTGCTCAACAGTACAATACTTTGAAAATACTATGAAATAGTATGGAAAGAACATTGAATATTTCAGCTAGGCCTGTGAAGTGGGGTAGATAACAAGGTGAAAGCACAAGTGATAGAGAGGGACATAAATTTATCAGGAAAAGGAGGTGGGTTGCAAATTAAGAGGCAAGTCAAGTGCTAAATATTGTACTGTACTGATAACACAACTCTGGTTGGTGGTACTGTACTCATGCACTGCACAGTACATTTGTTTTAGGTGCTCTAATTGTCAGGGTCATTAGCAGTGATGCTTAATGGGTGGTATTGAAGCAAAGTTACAAATGTAAGTACTGTATAACTGAAAAAGTGTGCACTAGAAGAAAGTTACTGGTGAAAGCTAAGAAATAAATGATAATGAAAATGAGCAGAGAAGGAAAATAGAGAAATGAGTGTAAGTTTGGATGGAGGCAATCTGATGGAACTTGAGCATTTCTAGCATCTGAGAAATGTTGACAAATAGATCATTGAGTAAAAAATTTGCTAATTGTTTGGCAAGTTCACTGTTGCACTTTGATGAATGGTAAGCCTATTAATTACTGTGATAAGGAAAATAATTTAACATCCTGTGTAGTGCTAACTTTTCTGATGTCATGTGTCTGTACAATAATGCACAGACTTAAAAAGCTCTTTAAATTCTTGTATTTGTTTTCTGGCTTTGAACTCCTTCTGGATACACTGTACTTAGGCAGTCTATGATGACCATGCATGTTGTAGTGGTAAAATTCACCTTCCCAATTCTTTAATCTTCATCCAATCTAAACAGGTTATTTTCCCATTCCTCTCCTCTTCTCCCTTGTTCTGTGTGACAAGTACTGTAGGTATTCAATATTTCAAGTACAATATTACTTTTTCTGTCTAGTGTGGCACATTGGCATAGTTTGTTAATGATAACTGTAGTGACATTATTATTAAGTATACTGTAATGGTGAGTCTGGATTGTTATGGTTTACTTGCCAGCAGAAATAGTGTTAAGGAAGAAGTTATAGACGTGTCCACCGTTAATGCTAATGTCTGTCCTATTAATTAAAAATATTGGTTTAGTCTGCAATATTGTTCTTTTACTTGTAATTCAATAGGAATAAACTTAATTTATACTTCATGACAAATTTAAGACAAATGTTGTACTGTAGATTTGAATGAATTTAATTTGTAATACCTATGAATTATGATATTCATTTACTGTATTTACAGGACCTTGATTTTATGCGGTGTGCTGAGCGTCTCTTGAAGTTGGCAGTAAGTTGACTTATAAAGTAGTAGTGATTGTTATAGTAAACAGTTAATTAATTCCATTAATTTACAGGTACAGTACTGTTTGATGAATGACAGAAGAGAAAAATCAATGGGATAATAATTCGGTTGCACATAAATATTTACAGTACCAAATACAGTACTGTAAAGTCCAGTACAGTACACTGTATTTAACAAGGGTGTTGAAGGATCAGTCCGTATGATTTATGCAGACCCAAGCAATTATCAAGTTTGTTCTATCTTACTGAATGAAATAAATAACTTTATAGATATGTAAAAGAAATGGTAACTGTGATACTGTACAATATATTTTTCCTAATACGGTACACATTCTGTATTTTATTGAAGGTTAATTTTATGGAATAATAAATTTTTTTAATTGTTTTCTTTTAGATACCAAACCACATTTTATGGTTGAGCTGGTTCTACCTGTGCTTTCACTCCTTTCTCAACACATTGGCCGAACTTCTATACTTTGCTGATCGTGATTTTTACCAAGATTGGTGGAATGCAAAAGATGTTGGGACATTTTGGAGGCTTTGGAATCTCCCAGTGCACAAATGGGCACTGAGGTATGTAGCCAAGGAAGGAAGTTGGGAAAAATTTTAATTTTAAGGAATTCTTTTCGTCTGTTATGTATGTGTGTGTGAATGTGGCCACATAAACCATTAACTATTAGTGCGAGAAAGTCATAGTCTTTATATTGTTGACAAGGGCGGATCAATTCTCTCCTTAAAGAGGAAATAGTTTTGAATGTTGATTTGGAGCCAGTCATGATGGAGGGTCAGTACTGTACAGTAATGGTGAAGTTTTGCGTAGAGGAAGACCAAGATGGTTTGGACATGAGGAGAGAATGGAATAGACCAATTGGGTCATGATTCTTAAATGTGAAGGAGTGGAGAGCTAGGGGTAAGCCAAGAATGACATGACATAGAAGTTGTAAGAAATGATATCAAGATTTCAAAACCTGATGAGAGAGGCTACAGCATGGGGATTTGCCATCAGGTACACTAATCATGGCTAACCCACACATGTGTGGAAAATTAATTTGATGTGTTGATGATGATACTTTGCTGTAAACTATTAATAGTCTTGTTTTTAGCATGCAAGAAGTTTTGATCTACTAAGTACATGTATTAAATGGATGACTTCAATGATGAAGAAGCAAATACAAAAACAGTACTGTAAACTGTTATAATTTAAAGGTCTACTTGCCAGATTAATAGACATTGCATAAAATGTACAGCAGTGAGGAGATGCAGAGTATGAGGGCCATAGAGGGGTTGCCATTCAGAATTGCTAGAGTATTTGCACTGACAGTTCTAATGTCACACCAATGATATCCAAAACACTTCCCAGTTTGAATGATAATGATTAAGGCCATGTTTGTGACATAAAGCCTTAAATACATGTGCTGTACAGGAGATCTTGGAGGGCAAGGCTTGAAGAAGCAATCAATCTTCATCTATATGGATCATTTTATTTGCTTGCAAATAACAACAGTTCCCTGAACTTTTCTTTGTTTTTCTTGACATCGGAAACTTTCCTTAGTAATACCGAGTTTATAAACAATTGAAAGCACCGATTAATCTACCTCTAATCTCTCGATTATCTTTAGTTTATCATGAATATTGTAACTAACATGCTTTCTTTTCCCTGCACTTTTCTTAGGTGCCATTATACAGGTAATAGCTTAAAAATATGGGGGCACTAGAATTGATATTTAGTAACACCGTGACAAGTGATGTAAACGGCAAAGCTGTTCTTGGAGACGTGAGTGTGGGGTTGTAATCAGTAGGACAAATATTTGGGGAGTCTGGACAGTCAACAGGTCTAGTGGATTGTATCTGGATTAACCAAAATTTGGAAAACAGGTCTGAATTGTAGCTGGTTACTGTACTGTATTAAAATGGTTTGTTTTTCATGGAGTAATTTTTTTTATCTGTTTCAGGCATGTCTTTGTCCCAATGATGAAAAACAAGTACAGTAAAGCATCAGCATCATTTGCAGTTTTCATCTTGTCAGCTGCCTTGCATGAATACTTGGTGTCCATTCCACTCCACATGTACAAAATTGGGGTGTTTGCGGGTATGATGGTTCAGGTGAGAGGTTGACCTCTTTACATTTACTATTCCATATTGGTCTTCATTAAATGATATATGGTAGTTACCATATGCCTTGTGTTTTTCTTTCTAAGGTGGTTGGCTCATTCAGAAACTTAATTCTTGTTGTATTAGGTTGTCGCATTTTCCATTTTATTTGTAGCCAAGCTCATGACAGATTTAAATATTTAATAATAGAGGCCTTCTTTTTCCCCCTCTCATCCTTACATGATCTCCAGTTACATATAATAACTACATACAGTAGTGAGATTTCCACAATGGTGATTCTTTATATTATGCTATACGATAACATAACAGGTCTAGTGGGCAGGTTTTGCCACATTGTGTCGAGTCTATCAGTTAGATCAGTCTTTGAATCAAGGCCAGCCACTTCACTGTCTCATTAAGAAGTGCACTAAGTGTTGCATCGAAGGTACAAATACAGATGAAAGGTTTGACTGGCAGCAATGACAAATATGAAGGATTTTGAAGTCAACTATGTAGGAGGGGCCTTGTTTGTTAAAACCTAATCCTTTTCAAAACAGGTTCTAAAACATTGTAGTTTTATTTGTTGTTGACAGATTAATAGAACAATAATTTAACTACAGTAAAGATGTACAGCGGTCCCTCGGTTAATGAACACAATTCGTTCCAGAAGGTCGTTTGTTAACCGAAACCATTGTTTCAATGGGTTTTTGGGTAATTGGTTCCAGCTCACCGAAAATTACATACAAACTAAAAATAAATGCAGTAAAGTACACTTACTTTGAGGTGTGTATGTAGAAGGCTCCTGGTTGATGATGATGGGAATTAGAATGGGGGTGGAGGAGAAGGGAAAAGAGAAGGCATTGGGGTGGAAGAGAAGTTACCCCATGCTTCATGCTGCCATTTCACCCATAAAATATTAGTTCACTTGGTGTAATTCAAGATTATTTTCTTTAAATCAACACGACACTGCACTGCATTAATATTGTCAATATGTAAAATAAACTTCAGAATGACCAATAATTGTACTGTAAAAACATAAAAATAGTTTATGTTCAAGAGAGTCTGAAGCAAGAAGCTTCCTCCACAGAGCAGGGACACACACTGACGCCATTTTGGGTGTGTTGAGTGGCTGTTTGGCACGCTAAAAACTAGTTCCCTATACAGTACTTCAATTATGTTAAATAATTGTTAAAATGACTAAAAACTTTAATATAAGACTTGGAAAATTATTGAATAGTACAACCTTCTTGATATTTACTCAAATGGTAACGAATTTAAGCCCTAAAACCGATTACTGTATTGGCGGACTAATACTACAGCTGGTGAGCAGGTGAAAACATGTTGGGAAAAATTCGTAAGGAATTCGTTAACTGAAGTGAAGAATCTTATGGAAGGTAATTCGTTAACCGAAATTTCGTTAACCAAGGGATCACTGTACTGTATAAACAAAGGGTCTGCTTATGTAAGATATAGGTCATCTGCATAATAGTAAGGATGGTTAGTTCAAGTTTACATTTTGCTGTGGTTGATTCTGAGAAATAATTGTTAAAAAGTCAGAGAAGGCATTATTTGGCATACATTCAGAATTTATAAAAATTTATACTGTGTATTCAATTATTGGTAAGAATAATTACCTGTGAAAAAATACGGCAGCACAGTACAAGTACACTGTACTGTACTTCAAAATATATCTTGGTAAAATTATAAATACTGTACTTATGATTTTCAAAGATTTCCAGATATTGGATGAAGTTACACTACTGTATGATTTTTTTGTCATGAGATAAAGCTCTAGTTGTAAATTAATAAAAAATAAAAACAAATTATTGTAAAACATGAGAAATATTGACCCTAACATATAGTATCCGGTATATAGCCTAGCACAAGTTATCTTATTTATATACAGTACTCTACACGTTTAATCCGCTAACAGCTCTCGTTGCTTAGTGATGAATGGACACAAAATTCAATTCCTTGTAAAATTAATACATTGGAGAACAGTTGATGTATATTGTCATCCAACATAAAGATGACAAATGTTGTATCCAAGTTTTTAAGTATTCATGATATTTGAAAAAGCAAATATTAAAATCAGGCTGAAGAAACTGCTGAAAGCAGAGTTCTGTAGCTTAAATATGTAATAAATATTGATTTGTTGACCAATTGAGCAATCCTGTTTGCCGCTCAGATTATAAACACATAGTAGGTAACATCACCGGAACTGTCAACTATGAAGTTCTAACCATTTCTTTTTGAAAATATTTCTCTCCTAACTGGATTTCCCATGGCTCCTCCAACATTTTAATTATGTTATATTTATTTTCAGGTACCCTTGGTGTATATTTCCACTAAAGTGGAATCCAAATTTGGTCCACGTTGGGGCAACTTGATTGTTTGGTCTTCCCTCATCCTGGGTCAGCCCCTGGGAATAATGGTGTATTACCATGATTATATTGTCAAGACTGTTGATCCAAACATGCTAGGTTTGTGAGAAAAAAATTTAGCACATGATTTTTAATGTCTTCTATCTATGGTAGATGCAGAAAGTTTGTAAAATATTTTTTATTGTGCGAGTGACTTGATGTACTTTATATTGTGATGTTTGTACTTGGCTTAGGTTGATACAGCATTAAAGATACCTTTTGCAAAGTAAAAAATAAATTATCATGTACGGTATATACTATTTCATGCTTTCTGATGATTACTTAAGGTATTATGACACCAAATATCCTATTTTAGTTGTCACAAAAGATGTAAATATCAAGATGCAACCTGTAGGTTGTAAGAATGTATGGACCATAGTACAAAATGAATATAGGGATTTTGATACCCATTATAATTGTAAGAATTGTTATTAATTTTTTTTTATCTAACCATCATGCTAAGTGCCACATTTAAGTTAGAAAATACTGCAGTTCTATATAACAGTGCTATCATTGAAAGTCCATATAATGTGCATGAAAATAAGGATTACTGATTTCTCAGTTGCCAGTACAGTATATGGTTATATACTTGTAGGAGAGATACATTGTAAAGAACTGTGTTGCTTATGTATCATCTAACACCTCCCCAAGTTTAAAACTTATTGACCTCGTGTGGTTATAAAGTTAATGTGTGCCCATCTAAAAAAAAAGAAGTCATATTGTATAATGTGGTCTTAGTTTCCTCAGAGGCCAAACATCTTTGTTTACCGATAGATTTATCCATAACAAGATTTAATGATGCGGGAAGCAATGAGAATTACAGTAGTTATTATAAAGGCTTCCAACTGTAATAAAACAAACCTGAAATAATTTGACTACCAACATAGCAAAGGAATGGGGTGTTTGGAATGGCAGAGAAGATGGGTGTAAATTGTAAAGTAAATTGCTGAAATGATATGGACATCCAAGATGAATACAGGAAGAAAAGCTAGCCTGTAGCTCTTCTGTTATGGCCACCCAATCAGAGGGCAGCCTCTTTCAGGAGCGAGCCATTGTAGATTAAGTGAACAATAGATCCTTGCCATTTGTGATTTTGACAATTCGCGGTAAGCAGATGGTGGCTAGCTTGCAAGCCTTTTCCCGCAGCACAATGAGTCACCCTGCACAGCATCTCATGTTGTACTCTCAAAATGTTAGTGTTTCTATGTGAAATGGTCCCTAAGAGACTGCCTAGTGTCAGTGTAGTGAAAATGTAAAACACAAAAGGATGACCATGACAGAGTTTTATTATTAGACAAGTTAAAAGAGGGGATGAGTGCTGCCATGGCTGGTCAGTTGTTTGGTATAGGTATACAGTAGCGCACTGAGGTAGTACAAGTTGTTATTCTCGGTTTTGCCAATTCGTGCCATTTCTTGGAACCTATCCCTCACGAATGGCAAGGATTCTATGGTACTCTAAGAGAAGTGAAAGTGGGTTATATAGTCCTGATGGCTAACTTGGTCATGCTGGTACAGTACCTTGTATACTAAGCCTTAAGCTTCCATTACACATGGAGGTAGTACCGCTGATACTGCACTCGGTTGGTTTCACTTCCCTAATTGTCAAGTTAGGGACCCACTAGCAGCTGGATCAACTAAGGGTGCACAATGCTCAAACTAACAGAAGGAGAGCACTCTAACCACTTGGCTGCTTCACCCTGTAAATCTAGGTGAAAGGAATATTTGAATAAGGTGGTTCACCATAATTGGACTTTTTTCTTTTTACATTTCACAATTTTATAAAATTGCAAAAGCTAACGAGTGGCAAAATTAGTAAAAAATTGGTCTAGTCTGCAATATGGTATACATGGTGTTACACACCATAAGATGCCCTCTTGATACTTGCATTACTTGGTAGTGCACAACTAGAAAGTCATTAATTGCTGTAGTTCTTGTTTATGGCTGTGTTTTCATAAGAATAAAAACCTATTTAACTGAAGTGCATGCATTCTTATTCCTTAATATGTTTGGTAGAGTCGATAGACAAATATCGAGGGAAATTTTACTTTGCTGTTTTGTGAAGTTCAATTCTATGTGTTGGGTAAAACTGTCAAAACTTAAATTCCAAACTAGGTATTATGTTTTAGCAGTTATCCTGATCACCAAATAACATTTTGCTGAAATTTCTTTCTAGAGAACAGCAAAACTACTCATGTGAATTTGTTATTTCATAGCTATTGGTAGTGGCACAAGCATGTACTTATGGCCAAGTGTCCTTTAGGCCAACTCTATATCTAGCTTTAAAGATTATTTGATAAACCAAGAAGCACCTGGTACCAATATCTGTAAAATATTTGGCTGAACAGACCAGAGGTGGTCAGGAACTAACTGCCAATAAGTTTTCAAACAAACTTGTTTCTCTTGGTGCCTTATCAGTCTTTAACTTATACAATCCAGTCTTGCCTTCTATCTTGTTACTTTTCCTCTTACATCATTCAAATCACCACATCCTGAACACAATAATACTACATCTCTGGTAAATTAAGTAGTTTAGAATATTCACATTTCCATTCTTAATATTTATGTACATTTATGATGTTCATCACCCAATTTTTTCATAAAAAATTATCCTCTTAATTTATCAAAGTAATTTAGCATACGGAAATATATTTTCTAGAGCTCGATTAGTCATGTGAGGAGCTAAAAAAAAATCTGCATATCATATGTACAGTATATCTTTATACTCCCTCTCTATATGTATACAGGACTTAGAAGAAATTCTGAGATCATGCTACAAATATTACATCAAAGTTTAAAGGACTTTTCTAAAACCTTACCATAGCTGTCACTAGAAGCTGGTTCCCAGCAGAAAATGGTCCGCTACCCAACTGTCAGTTACTGGCTCCTACTCGTCTGTCAATTATTTTGGTTTTAGATTCTGCTGCAATGTCACACAAATAATGCCAAGACAACTCCTTGCCCAAGAATGAGTATTTAAGATGTCTCCAGGAATCAAAGAAGGCTGCAGTCCCCAGCCTCACAATATACATATAAAAAAAAATGGTGCAGGATTTTTAGCCCGATACTAATTTGTATATGCATGCCTATTCCAAATTTAATAGACAACCATACTTACAATACTGTCAAAAATAACCTACACTATGAATGTGTTCCAAAATCTTGCAATTCACTAACCCATTTGGAAATCTTTTACTGCTTTGACACAATTGAAATAGAATAATAATTAACCTAATTGTTTTGAGGTTTCTTATAAAAGATATGCTCTCTTCATCAAAATAATCAACTCTCTCTCTCCTCATGCTCAGGTAATGTATAGAGAATATCCAAATATATCCATTACAGATCATTATTAAATTCTGAGTGCTCAACCAGGCCCTGGAGGCTTTTTCAAAACAATCATGTGTTCAAACTTGAGTTACAAGTAAACACAAAAAAGTTACAAATTCCCTCAAATATGGAACACTGTAGGCGTGTGGAAGAGATGAAGTTTGCTCCAGGAAGTATGCTTAATATGGAAACAAGATGATGAGAAACGAATGGGATAAGTAAGGTAATATAGTAAAAGAGCCCTTGGTTATTAAGACAAGTGCTGGACTTTTCTGTGTGGCAGGTGATAGCATGATGCTTTAAATCAAAAGAATCATCACAGAAAGAACACAATTATTAAACTTCTAACTCAACATACTTGGTCAAGTGGAGCAAACTGGTATGTTACCTTATAAAATATACTAAATTACTTTAAAAATTACAGTACAGGTTGTACCTCTCTAGTCCGGCATTCTGTGGTCCGGAACGATTTTAGTTTGTCCAATAGGCAGTTTTTTTTTTCTGAATTATTATTATTATTACAGGAGTATTAAATTTTTGCCCCTCAGGCCCCAATGTGGGTCAGTGACCTATGCCCAGGTGGGCTAATCCCCTTAAAAAAAAAAAAAACAGCCGCGGGAAATTAAGGTTTGTTTACATCCGGCAGTTCGGCTGCTCTCTCTCTCTCTCTCTGCTTGTCTATACAGAGTACAACATTTAACCCTTCAATATATATGAGCAGTAAATAAGTGTTGCTTTCATATTCTTATGTAGAGTAATGACGATATGTTTTCACATGTGCGCACTTACATACGCGCAGTCTCACTTTTTTTTTACCATTAATGGTTAGCTACTTATATTGTTCCATTTATTAACATTAAATAACATTACAGGTACTTCAAACAACCATATTAATTTTTTTACATTAATTTTACTACAGCTAAACTCAGGGTCTTATTTTCTTCAGTTTTATATGTAGAACCAATCAGTCACTGGTTTCGTAAGCTTTAACATAAACAATGCCGGCAGCCGTCTCGTCTCCTCTAATATTCCACGTATTATTAATAAATTGTATTGTTAATTTTGCACACACGTACATTAATTCAATAAAAACAAATTCAGAAACATTAATTAAAATATATATGAACAGTAAATAAGTGTTGCTTTCATATTCTTATGTAAAGTAATGACGATATGTTTTCACGTGTGCGCATGCGCACTTACATATGCGATCTCTCTTTTTCTTTACCATTATCGTTAGCTACTTCTATTGTTCCATTTATTAACATTAAATAACATTACTTAAAACAACCATATTAATTTTACTACAGCTACAACCAAGGTCTTATTTTCTTCAGTTTTATATGTAGAACCAGTCAGTCACTGGTTTTGTAATCAACGAAAACAATGCTGTGTCATTTCCTCGTGTGTTTTAATTTTCTACGTATTATTAATGAATTGTATTGCTCATTTTGCACACATAAACATTAATTCAATAAAAAAGACATTCAGTAATAAACAATAATGAATCTTTTGTACATAAGAGAAATGACGCTGTTTACACGATTATGCACGTCGTCTGCACGTTGGCGGGCCGTTCAAACCCGTCGAAATTCAAGTTTCCGCCGTCAAAATTTTTATTTATTTATTTTTTTGTGTGTTCCAATAAAATACGTTAAGAATTAAAAACTCGCGAAATTTGAGAAGCTACTATACGACATTTAACCCTTCAATATGTCTTCAAAGACCCCATGACGCAGAGAGAGAGGTGCTAGTGCTTCCAGGCATAAGCACAAGTCACTATCTATCCAGGAAAAGGGTGAATTTCCATGGTCCGGCAATTTCCATGGTCCGGCACCGGTCAGGTCCCGAGGTTGCCGGACTAGAGAGGTACAACCTGTACTGTATATATTTTTTTAAACCAATAAAAAAAATTTCTATCATAAATATTGAAACAAATTACATTGTTTACTCTGTACACTAGACACTATTTATAACCTTAACATTTTAATTTCATTAGCAATGGAACTCTAAAGTTTGGAAGTCTCGGCAGCCTCTGGTTTTATATTCTGTTGATCATCTGGAGAAGGTTCCTCATCTTCCAGGTTGCTGCTGGTGTTGTTGTTGGCCTCCAGCTGCTGCCTCCACATATTACTGTACTCTCCACCTGTTGCTATCAGCTCGCTGTGTCTATAAAATAGTTGGCAAAATAATCATCCAGGAATCTATCATTACATAAAATACTGGGATCAGCTGAATATTAGCCCCCAGCTTATTCCACCCAATTATTAAACTCCCTAATGCTAATTTTCAAGCACCTGTACAGTAAGGTACTGTGTACCAGTTTTCTGAGGTTCTTGGATAACTGGTTTCCAAACTTCTAAGAATCTACCATAGTTAGTTCTTTCTTTTTTGTTACATATTTCTTTAACCATTTTCACCCTTGCTTCTTTAAAACAATTAATAGACATTATATAGCTTTGCACATACAGTACCTGTATTCACAACACTTTCTATTATAAATTCACTTACTATTAACCAGTACAGTAGTTGTACTTACCTTCCGCGTTCTACAATTACGCCATCCTTGAGAACAAGAATAGTGTCAGCATGAATAATTGTGGAGAGACGGTGAGCCACCACCAGCACTGTACGTTCAGTACACACCTTCTGTATTGCATCCTGAAGTGACAAAATTAAAAGGTTAGTAAACAAGACTGATCAAGAATTGGTCATAAGCTGGACAGGTAAATCAAGGTGGACCGACCAAAAAAATTTTCTCATTCAGTTAGGATGGGAATTCATAGAGGTGGCTGAAACAACTGAAAAAGCACAGTTTTGGTAAGACACCAAAATAATAGATTATATTGTTGAAGTTTTATCCCTCAATAATATTTACCTTTTAATTAAACTAAAATGCAACATACTCTTGTTGGCTGAAAACTAGAGTAATTTATATTCTTCTTTTACACTTAACAAATTACTGTATCATCATTAAACAGAAAACATAAAAAAATAAAAAAAAAATAATTATAGTCATGTAAAAAAAGGGGAGGGAAGAAGGTATATGAATATAAAACAATGAATGTATACGTAGTAAGAAAATACAAGTGTATCCGGTACCAAGACAGACATATAGAAGCAGTATGACATAAGGCAAGACTGTATAACCCACCTGATGTATAGAGGGATTTAATGAATAAGATAAACACTACACTCCTACTAAACTGGTCTACATGTGTGAACATCTCAGACAACTGGCATTTTTCTTCAAATAATTTTTTTCTAAATTCATACTACAGTACAGGTACTAAAACAGGATGTTTGCAATTTTTGGCTTTGACTGTAGTGTACCAGAAGCAATATAACTACAGTACTAAAAAATTAATGTCTGATTAAATCAATAATTTCTTATACCATGCAAGTAAATGAATAAAACAGAAATACTGTACATTGTAAAACAGTTCAAGTGAATGACAAAATAAAAAGAAATTTTAAAAATTAATTAATATCTTTCACCTGAATATTTCTTTCTGTCTGTGTGTCAAGAGCGCTGGTGGCTTCATCTAGCAAGATAAATGCTGGATTCTTGAGTAATGTGCGAGCGATGGCCACACGTTGTTTCTCTCCTCCACTCAGCTTCAGTCCCCTTTCACCCACCTACAAAAAATATTTTCAAATATCAATTCAATATCTATGAGAATACTAGATACAGTAGGCCGGGCCCTAAAGAATGGAAACAACGTACCGTAGCTGCAGCACATGAACAGTAGACTACAGATGCCCTCAGTCTATACTTTACATCAATGATCACACAAGAGACAATGGATAACATATCAATTCCTAGGAGGATTAAAACTGCAGGAGTGGAAGAAGAATTAAAAGATCTACCAATCACATACAAAATCCTCATGAGGAAAAAACAACCAAATAGAATTCAAAGGTCCAGTAGTACAGTCTAAGGTGCTACAAGAAACAGCATATACCATCTCAATCTTCAAGAAGGGTAGTCAGAATGCAGCAGAAAACTACTGACCTGTCTTAACTTCACCTATCTGCAAGGAAATTTTTAGTGATGGGCCTGACCGAGCCCAAAGACATCAAAGCATCACAGTATGCATTCATGGCAACTAAATTCTGTAGAATGTTGACAGACAGTAATGATCAAATTTTTCCCACCAATGCACAGTACAGGTATATGGATTTCTCTTAAGCTTTTGACAAATACTGTACAGTATTACCCCGCTTTACACGGTTTCACTTTGCCAGAACCAGACTTTCACTTTCCGCGGTGCATCTACTCATATACGCGAAGTATAATTTTTTTTATTTTTATTTAGCTCATAAAATTCATACAAATTACCCGGCCAGAATATAATTTACATTGCTGGAATTCTTACAATATGATGATCATTTTGAATATAAACATCATGGATTTTGCATTAGACATACAAATTTTAGATCTTATGTAATAATTTGGTTTACACAAAGCAAATATTTTATCCTTTGTGCAGAATATATGAAGTTTACATTCAAAATATTCCCTGACCTGCAAGGAATCCAGAAATGTCAATTATATTATCCTAACTTTAGTCTGAGGTATTATTTATTACTAAACGTTAAAATCTAGTGTTTCACCCAATCATTTCTCAGAGAGGTAGGAGCTAGTGAGCTGGGAAGAGGGGGGGGGGATTTGAGTCCATTATTTGAATGGACATTAACCTGGCGACTGTATTTCTCTTAAATATTAATTGTGTGAGCATACCATCATAAAATTTAGATGTTATTTTTACTACAACATAGGTATTGTGTCGGAAAAAGTGGAGTTTGGGGGTCGGGCCAGTCTCTATTGGAATTAATCCCATATGTTCTGTTGTTCACTTTACGCGGTTTTCACTTTCCGCGGTACCCTGTGGGTTCAATTGACCGCGTAAATCGGGTACTACTGTGTGTGTGTGTGTGTGTGTATATATATATATATATATATATATATATATATATATATATATATATATATATATATATATATATATATATATATATATATATATATATATATATATATAAATATATATATATATATTATATATATATATATATACTACTAACCTTCGTGTCATACTGCTCAGGGAATGTGATGATCTTGTCATGAATATCAGCATGCTTGGCTGCATCCTTCACTTCACTGTCAGTTGCAGTCACTCTCCCATAGTGAATGTTATAACTAAAAAATAAAACCATTATGATAGAGACCTTGTAATATCAAACTTACTGGGATGAAGACCAGCCTGACAAACTAAACATTACAAAAACTAGAGGTAGTTCTCTCCTTGACAATTCATTTTGTTTGAGTTATGAAAAGTTATTGATCTCAAGCCTCCCCATGCACATGTAACCAGTCAATATTCTGATATTTACATTTTCTAAAGATAAGACAATAATACTAATAAATCTAAATCCAGTATATTAACCTTATATTTTGCACCCCCCTTCCCTTCCCAGGCCAAAGCAAGAGTGTGTTGTGGTGATGGTGATTACTGAAACCTGGGTCAGACATACTTTGACTATTATTTCAGCTTTTCTGAGATACTGAGATGCTTCTTTTAAGAGCCACACAGAGGACCATCACTGGAAGCCAATGCTAGAGCACTATACTGTATGTCACAAAACCACAAATGAAATTAGGTCCTATATTATAGACAGTGATAGTCCATAAAGGGCAGTATAGATACAGCACAGTATGCTAAGCATACTGTACACTAAGCCTTCAGTATACAAGGAGCCACTGTGGCTTGCACTACACCCTACTGCCTTTACTTCCTCAACTGTAAAATTTTCCAAGTACTGCACCCATCCACAGCCAGGTAAAATCTGGGTACCCTAGGCAAAAACCAGCAACCCTTAGGACATGAGGGAAGCACTGTTTCCACTCAGTATCTGCATCCTAAACCACACAGAGTGAAATGTATAAACAGTGGTTGAGCCGAGATGATACAAGGATAATGTAATGATGGATCAAGCTTGTACAGTCTCATTCAAGATTCTTCGAACACTGCTGGAGACAGCTGGCAACTCAAGGCCGTTTGTTTACTATAGTACGTAGTAAAATATAATACAAAACAACAAAGCCCAAACATTAATTAAGCAACGGGGAACTAAGTAACCAATCACCGATAACCTTTTACATTGATTCATATTTTTTACTACGTTTTATAGTAAACAAACGACCTTGAGTTGCCAGCTGTCTCCAGCAGTGTTCGAAAAATCTTGAACGAGACAACAAAGTACTGGTACTAAGGTGAATGAGGATGCAGTTACAAGGCACCCAAGCAGGCAGTGTCCACACATAATGTGGGTCAGGTCACTACCTCGACCAATGAGAGGCTGTGGTGGGCTGCAACCTTAGGAGCTCCCCACATCATGCATTGCTCTTATGAGAAGTTATCATGTGGACTACCATACTCTAATCCCACACATTCAAGAATTTGAATTTTTTTTAAGATAAAATTATAAATACACATCCAAGAACCCAAAAGTGTTTGAAATAAGCTAAGTTAAACAAACCTGAAGTCCAGAATTTGAAAGATTACTTTACATACAATGTGCTTGAAAAGATAAGAATTACTGAAAATCTTGCAAACACAATATTCACTCCCAGTCATAGAAATGTGGTGAGAGAGAGATGATATATGTGTTGTGGTGCATTATAGTTGACTACACAACTCCTTCCAACCTGCCATCAAATCAATTTATCAAGATATCCTATTAAAGTGTAAAATACACCCAATTTTTTTTTCTTTCCTTCTTTAATAATAAAAAGCTATATACGTACAAAATAGTTTCATTAAAAAGAACCGTATCTTGGGGAACAACTCCAATGGCCTGTCGGAGGGATTTTTGCTTGTAATCTCTGATATCTAAACCATCGACCAAGATAGTGCCTCCAGGTACGTCATAGAAACGAAAAAGAAGACGCATTATTGTGCTCTTGCCACTACCAGTAGGGCCAACCTGTGGATTGATGAGGGTGATTAATATCTTAAATTATACTCAAAAGAGGCGGAAGGCAAACTGGTCAAAATACTGTACTGTATATGAAAAGAATATCTTCTGCATGAACACTAGCCAAACATCAAAACATGAAAGTATATGACACAAACAAATTAACAGTTTAAACTTACAACAGCTACTGTCTTTCCTGGTTCTACAATAAAGGAAATATTCTTCAAGATTGGTCTCTCAGGAGTATAATGGAAAGACACATCCTTAAACTCAATTATTCCCTGAGGCACCGGTAAAGTCTGGGCATCATCCTGAAAGAAGTATCTAGAATGAGAAAATTAATTCATATTCCCTCACCTCACCCCAATAAACTAATGGTGCAGTGGTATAAATTAAAACTAAAAAAATAAATATAAATAAATAAAAAACTGAATTTGAGAATTTCATTTTTTGGTCAAGGTGACGGGTCAAGTGATTTGCCAGATTTTTTCCTGCAGGACCCCTTTTGGGAGAGCTTGCCGTGTCTAGGTGGATGAATGCATTCTTTGGTAAGGACACTGCCCTAAATGGATTAGTGCTAAGACTGCACAAACAGCTACTTGACCACTGACTCAATGGTTAGTGAGGTTAAGACCTCACTTGTGATCCAGAAGCTACTTTAAAATGCATGTGAGACAAAGGGACACTTGGATGACTCCTTTGCTCAGTAGTGGAGTGTTTGTCTTACAAGCATACAGTCCCATGTTCTATTTCTGGCTGGAGTGTTGGAGTGTATTCCTCCTAGTTCCCAAACCATTGCACACTAAACAATAAGATGAGTGTATGATCAGGGGCACTTGCAAATGATAAAGCAACCCTTATTGAATAAGCACCCTGCCAACTAGATGCCCAATGCTAAGAATCAGATGAACACACTTGCATCATACCAGGAAGGTTGCACAATTAAAAAAAAAAAAAAAAAGCAATAATTGTTCCAATCAGTATTTTGGGCTTTGTTTATGTTAATCATATTTCCACTAGGGTATCTCCTTACCTTTGTGTAATTATTTGGTTACTGTGACATGTGACTTCCTCCCTTCATTTACTAGCCAGTCTGTACAAGTCACATGATGTAGCCATAAAGCCAAAATCTGAACCTCAAAATGCCAATTTATGACCAAGGGGAAGTCAAGTAACTTTGAAACTCTCCTTCCTACTATTGGTGTATTTCTTTCTCAGCAGAAAACTATGAACATGGATCTTCATACGCGATGCAGTACTGCATTATGATTGGGGGGTTTGAATTATATGAACCAGCAAAGAATTTTTATTGATGAATGTTCAAATCTCGTGCTTTTGAAAGCAACTGCCAGACTGTGGTTGAAATTCTGCCTTCACTAACCACAGACTGATTGAGGGAGCAGCTGTTAATGCAGCAGCACTGATTAACATAGGAAAGTGTTACAGCCCTAGAACACAAGCTCTGACTGCAAAGCCTTCAAAATCATATGTGCACTCCTGCCAGAAGAACCATCCAAGTTCCATTCATAGTGTTGATCTTGAATTTATCCCATGCACTTCTGATACTGTAGTGATGTGGAAAATATATGGTTTGTCAGGTCTGGTATAAGCTTCAAGCAACTAAATGTCTGCTTCAAATTATACATTTTAAATGTTGTTGTCACTCCCAGATCCATTGGTTGAATTAAAGAGGTGGTGTTAGGCAGCAAAAACATGGACTAAATATTAGGGTGTAGGTCATTAAAGTGTGTTAGGTGGCCTAGAGCATTATCAAGGAGTAAGGCCTTGAAAATGAGGTCACAAGCAAGGCAGTAATGCTCCACACAAACTAATCTTCAAAACGTTTTGCTGTTATCCAGACTTTTTTATTGCCTTGCAAGTGAGCAGGTAGGCCTGGTAGGGTAAGATGGTGAAGACCATTGAAAGCCCAGAGATTCTGGGAATGGTACCTGAGTATTGTAGAAAAGAAGATGGCACAAGATGTTTTCCCATGATGCACTATGTGAGGAAAAATGAAAAATGTAAGGCAAATAGTAGGTTGCATAAAAAAAAAATCTGGTTCTTGTGTAGTTGTCACCAATGAGGGAACCTGTACTGAGAATAAAGGCGAGTCTAAACTGCACACTAAAAAAAAAAAAAAAAAATATCGGGGGGATACACAGCTATGTCAAGAATGTGACTGATAAGTTCTATGATGAAAGACAGAAACGGTGTGAGTATATGGTAAGAAAGATATATTAAACCAACCTTATCAACAACTTCTTGCTTTTCATCAAGAAGGTCAAACATGTTCTCCATATCAATAAAGTTCTGCTGAATCATACGATAGTAAGTGCCAAACCAGTTGAGTGGAGTGTACAGCTGCATGATGTATGTTGCAAAAAGCACATAGTCACCCACTGTTAGACCTTTATGATAAGCAACCATCCATGCTGCCAGCAGGGACCCTGCCAACAGTCCTCCATTGATCACTAAGTTCTGAATTGTGTTAAGGAAGGATAATGATGCATTTGACTTCCATTCCTCAATCTGTAACAGAGAAAAATAAAGTCACAATACTTTTCAATGCTGTAATAAATAATGTTTTAGAAATGACAGTTGACTGAAATTTCAAGTTGCACATACAGTACATCCCCCCAAAAAGAAAAAAACAAGAACACTTTATCTGTGGTCTAGGATCTAAGAAATATACATACTGGAAATAAACTACACAACATTTACTAACTAATAACAACACTAAAAACTATAAATTCAGGACAAAACAGTACAGCACAGGGAAGATATCTGAACACTTCGTGTTCATTGCTCCATTCTCTGGCACACACACTCCTAGATATAGAAGCAACTGACTTCCATCATTCTATTTGGGGACTTTTGGTTTATGATACAGGCAGGAGAGCAGCACACAACATTCTACCTGATAGTTTAATACAGATTCCCTGTATCGGTTGACTTCATAATCCTCAGCACCATAATACTTCACAGTTTCAAAATTGAGAAGAGAATCTACACCTCTTGATCGCTGTTCGTTGTCAGCAAGATTCATGCGTCGACGATATTTTGTCCTCCACTCCGTCATGACTATTGTGATAGCTGAAATATACAACATTGTCAAATGGAAGAGTAAACTGTATCAAATTAAGACTAAAGAATATGGTCAAATACTAGTAATATATTTTGGTGTTTATACATGCAGTGAAGTAGATTATAAATGTAAAAACAATCTGAGCATTTAATTTACAGCCTGAAGGACTTGACCAAGAGCTTGGACACTGTGATGGAAGATGGGGTGTTACCTAAGTGACCCATCATCCCACAATATAATTCCTACCACACTATGCAGTTGTAGGCAGAGGATATCATGTATGGATGCTTTTGGTAGGTGTTATGAAACTTGGTCAAGGATACAGACATTCTCCCCTCCTACCCAGAATGCATTACAGTACTGTACATGTTTCTGCTACTGTTTGAATTTGTTCATGTTCATGGAAAAAGTTTGTGAGCAACTTCTTTAATTTATCAAAAAATATTCAGATCCAGTGCACTATCTGAAAATTTCCCAGCAAAGTGAAAAAGTCTATCGAGTCAAGTTTCATCTTGTAGTAATCCAAGACAGAAGCATACTACCCTTAGTACTGAGGAGAAAATACACATAATTTGGAACAATGAAAAAGAATACTGTTAAATGTAAAGTAGAATAACATAATATGAAGCATAGACAGAGACGATAATAACAACCCTTATCAGCATCAAAATTAGATATGGGGCACATAGAGTACCACTCCTGCCTCTGGCCCCAGAAGCAGAAGGAGGTTGCCAGATGCCACACTCATCATGGATGTACAGGTACTGCACTAATTTTGATGGAGTACACTGTACAAAACTGCATAATGCTTCATATCCTTAATTTCATTTTTTATTACACTTAAATAAACAGACATGGGTCAAAATTTTCTTTGTTATGACCTTCATTGTCCAATGTTAAGTCAAGAGGAAACCAAAGTAGCTGATGAAAACCTGTGATGTTTGGTAAGGTCACACTGGATAACACCCTTCTTACACCCAGCCTTGGGACTGAACCAAAGAAAAATTGATGAGAAGGAGGCATGTTACTGCTGTACCACCAACACCAACTTAGAACGTACACTGGACATCAAAAATTACAATATAGGTGAGATCCAGCTCTCTGTTTAAAGGAGGGATGGTGTGGTAATGTGAAGAGGGTTGTTATGGTAGTGTCATCTGGCAATCTCCCTCTGTTCCATAATTTTTTTATGGAAAATTCATACTAATAGAATAGTTTAGTTGCCATAAGCTTTGAATAAAACAGGTTGTACTTTAAAGCTTATCAAAAGCACAATTACATACACAAGCAGATAACTATTTACACTATCTGTATACAATCACATAAAATATCTGACAATCCAAAATTTTCTGAACATACCTAAATAGGCAGCCATGGTTGCAAAGACAATAAGACCAAACCAGTAGTTGAAGACTGCCGTGAAGTAAACAACAGCCACAAGGATGTCTATCACTGTTGGCAGGATGCTGTAAAATTTATAATCATTTACAAAACAAAGAAGAAAGCATTGTACAGTACTGTACTATGATAAGATGAACTTAAAAATATCTTTCATAGGATTATCTTCTTTCCTGTATGCTGCATACAAGTAGATGACACTGCTGTTTCTATGATATGCTTAAATTCTAGTTCTTTGCATCTGTTTGTCATAACCTTTTCTTGCAAAACAGTATACTATACTGTACTGTATCCTATACAAGATTTTAATAATCCTACTCTAATCATCATGAGTGCTAACTTTTGATTTGGTCAAAGTATAGAATAAAAACAAGCACCTTAAGACTTAGGATAAGCATGCAATTCTTGAGTGCAGGGATACTCATGAGAAATTGCTGCTAGTAATGGCAGAGTCTGGTGGAGTCTGGCTGTGCAATCATTATTCATTGACTTTTTTTATGCAGTACCTTTACTGTATTTCCTAAATCAGGTATATTTTGTGGAAGTACAGTACTTGAAAACTTAGTCTTCAGTCACCCTCTTCCTCCCAAATTAATTCAAATTAGCATCACTTCACTACAAAAAAGTGAGTCCAGCAGGCACAGTGGCCTCCACCACTTTTACTTTCTCAACTATAAAGTTAAGTGGACTGAGGTACCTTAGGGGTAAACTAACAGCAACACACTTGAGAAAAACTAAACTTTTTATTCTCAGTATTGACTTTAATTAAGCCATCAACCTTAAAACTATAGTACAAATAGCTGTCAACTGATAAACTTGTTTAAACTTGCCTAAAAACAATATATGAAAGTAGAGTGTTAATTGAGTTAGTGCCACGGTCCATCACACGTAGCACTTCCCCAGTTTTCCGTCCCAGGTGCCATCTTAGAGAAAGGTTGTGCAGGTGGGAGAATAGTTGCACCTATTGATAAAAATTAATTTTATTGGGGAGCAACCTTTGCTCTTTTTATGTATAAGTTCATGAGATAAGTCAACATTTAATCTAAAGACCAAAAACATTTTAATATAACACAGCACCAGATGATATTTAACATACTCTCTCCTTTATATGAAACTTAAAAGTGTACGAATTAGTGAAAGCCATTTATGATAAGAGATGTAGAAAAAATATACAGGGTGATTCAACAAAGAGTACATTAAATTGGAGGATGAAATCCTTGGATAATTCTAAACCACAATGTCTCTATGGTAAAATGTCAGATTCTGCATGTGCCCAATTGTTCGTGACAGGTGCGAGCAAATTAAACATAGTCCAGGCATTCTGGAACGAGTCAGACAATCAATGATACGACGTGTACAGGCCTGCATTGAGGCAGAAGGGGGCAACTTTTAACATTTCCTTTAGGTTGTAACAAAGAGGGGCCACACTGTAGAGATCTGTGAATAAATGATTACAAAAACCTATGGGGATTTCACTTCAAATTCGCTCTCATTAATACATCTTAAATGTATTGTAACATGGAAACTATGCAGAAACTGACATTTTACCATTGAGACATTGTGGTTTAGAATTATCCAAGGATTCCATCCTCCAATTTAATGTAATATTTGCTGAATCACCCTGTATACATTCCTACTCTATTCTCCTGACATAAGAAATACATAGATTTACATACTCATTCATGCAAATATTATCAAAGCTCAACAAAAGATACAGATAAAGTACAGTCAGCCAAAGATGCACTGACCCCACCCTGGGTCTCGTGATCGCAATTTTACCTGGTAATACTTGGTATAGGAAGGCTGTATGTAAAGGTGATTGGTGGATCTGTTTTCGGCTGTATCACTGTCAGGATTATTATTAAACAAACCAAAGGTAGAATTTTTATAATAATAAACTATTCATTGTTATTTAAGGTCATGAGAAGTTTCCAAATGTTCGTATATTTGTTTAAATTATGAAGAAAATTTGATGGGAGAATCTTGTGGGCAGCTGTGGTTATAGTCGAGTTGCCAATTCATTAATATAATTTTCTTCATTATTTAAGGAAATATACAAAAATTTGGAAAGTTCTCATGACCTTAAATAATACTGAATAGTTTATTATTATAAAAATATTACCTTTCATTTGTTTAATAATTATCCTGACAGTGATAAAGCCGAAAACAGATCCACCAATCACAATCACCTTTACATACAGCCTTCCTTTACCAAGTATTGCCAGGTAAAATTGCAATCACGAGACCCAGGGTGGGGTCGGTGCATCTTTGGCTGACTGTGCATACTGTATTTAGACACTGTATATACAATGATATTTCCCAAAGACTCACTTGAACCTCCCTGCTAGTGTACTGCTGCACTGATATCCATAACAGTGACCGCAGGTTGTTGAGGAAACCCATCCCTCCCGTGCCTCCTCCCTGCAGGAACTTCAAGCCAACATAGATGAGAACATATTGCCAACAGAATTCTGGAGTTCCACCACTGCCTCCAAGTCCATCAACTGAAATAAATAAATAAGGAAGAATTTTCATTTTAAAAAGTCAGATTTTTAACCAAAGTGTCTTAGTTCTTTACTTCGACCATTAAGTGAAAAATGAGAAAAATTCTGAACTATGTAAATTAATCTTCAAGCAAAGTACCTTCATAGTATAAATACTATTCATCACTTTATTTCATGAACTAAATTCTACACTAAGAGGCTAAAAATATAAAAATGAAGATATGATAAAAGTTACAGATATGGTTGGAGAGGTGGCTGCTGTGGTATCATCCACTGTTATATTCATAGGCATTATAATACAGTGTAGACAGTTCTGCCAAGCAAACAAGTAAGCCCTGTATATTACCAGCCACCTGCATCATTATGTGACCATGATATCTTACCAATCAATTTATAGAATAGTGGAACATAAACATTTGTCACTCTGCCAGCAAGAAGTAGTACGAAGCACATGATGACAGCCAACTGCAACAACACATTCTTCTTGGGCCACATGAAGGGCAACAAAATTCGCAGTTTTTTCCAAGTGTTGCGCCATGTTGACCCCTGACTGTTGTTTTGGCTCTGTGACTGATCCTGAAACAGAACAAAGATGCATTTTTGTTTATGTTTATAATAATAGTTTGACAAACTTGAGGTTTTAAAAACATGGAAAAGATAAATATCTCTTAACATAATACATAGAACACTAATTGGTAATTTTTTCACTCTTGTAAGCCTTCTCCAGCTATACTATTTGTTGTTATTGACATCTCACTGCTTCACATGGGTGTAAAGTCGATTAACCTTTGATATTTGATGATAATTATAAAAAATCACTCCTCAGAGACCTCTCAGGGAAAGTATATTAAAGAATTTTCTGTACTGTATTGGGTGAACATCAGGTATTCCTGTACAGATATTCATATTTAATTGATGAATATATGGTAAAGTAAAGGGCCAAAAGTTTTATTGATGTACTCTGTATATTGCTGCATGGTTCTTTGTTGAGACAGTCAAGAATGAATTATGTTAGGGTAGAGCAATGGATGGCAGTAGAATGATGGGGCAGAAGCCATTATGGGAGGGAGGTTTGCATGAGGATGGTTTATTTGGGGGTTCTTTATTGAATTTTAGGTTGGGTATATGATTATGTGTCCCAGAGTGATTCAAGATTTCAGTAAGGATGTTTATGGATATTTGGTCCCAGGTTAATTAAATATATGCTGAAAATGTTGTCTCGTTCTCTTTCAGTGAATCATTTTAAAGTTTAATGGCCGTGTAACTTGTGTAGTGAGAGAAGAGATGGGATCAGTTGTTTTGTTTGAATGTCTAATATTTTATGTTTATTTAGGTGTTAGACTTGAAGAATATGGATGAATACCGGTAGTAATTTACAGTATTAAAGTTATTCTTTTGTTATTTGGAATGGAATCATCTACCTCTGGTGTATGGGAGGGTTTATCTAACGTCTGTATGTTGGTGATGGTTCTCTGTTGCTAGTCTTATGGCTTTGGATGTCTATAAAGATTTGCCAGGGTGGCAAAATAATTAATACAGATAAATGTTTAAAGGCGATGATGCTTAATGTATCGGTTAATTAGGTAAGAATAACTGTAACTGGAGATAACATCAATGACTGCCTTGATCTCACATGATTCTTGTTCCATTGAGCATGTGGAAGTTCATGCAACAAATCACAGATACAAAAGACAGTGACTGTGTCTAACATGCAAATAGCACCCTTATCGGAACAAGGTCTGACAGTAATACAGGTGAGGTAAACCCACCGGTAACTTGTTGAAAGACCGATAAGTAATAAATAGACTTCCTAGTCAAATAATGACAAATAATTTTCATCAGAATAAATATCTGACCGAGGTACTGTAAATGTAGAGCTGAGGTTGAAGAATTAAAACACTTACATACTACAGGTTGTACCTCTCTAGTCCGGCATTCTGTGGTCTGGAAACTCCCGTGGTCCGGAAGATTTTAGTTTGTCCAATAGGTAGATAGGCAGCTTTTTTTTTCTTTTTTTTTTTACTTATCTGAATTATTATTATTATTACAGGAGTATTAAATTTTTGCCCCTCAGGCCCCAATGTGGGTCAGTGACCTATGCCCGGGTGGGCTAATCCCCTAAAAAAAAAACAACAAAGCCGCGGGAAATTAAGGTTTGTTTACATCCGGCAGTTCGGCTGCTCTCTCTCTCTCTGCTTGTCTATACAGAGTACAACATTTAACCCTTCAATATATATGAGCAGTAAATAAGTGTTGCTTTCATATTCTTATGTAGAGTAATGACGATATGTTTTCACATGTGCGCACTTACATACGCGCAGTCTCACTTTTTTTTACCATTAATGGTTAGCTACTTATATTGTTCCATTTATTAACATTAAATAACATTACAGGTACTTCAAACAACCATATTAATTTTTTTACATTAATTTTACTACAGCTAAAATCAGGGTCTTATTTTCTTCAGTTTTATATGTAGAACCAATGAGTCACTGGTTTTGTAAGCTTTAACATAAACAATGCCGGCAGCCGTCTCGTCTCCTCTAATATTCCACGTATTATTAATAAATTGTATTGTTAATTTTGCACACACAAACATTAATTCAATAAAAAGAAATTCAGAAACATTAATTAAAATATATATGAACAGTAAATAAGTGTTGCTTTCATATTCTTATGTAAAGTAATGACAATATGTTTTCACGTGTGCGCATGCGCACTTACATACGCGATCTCTCTTTTTTTCTTTACCATTATCGTTAGCTACTTCTATTGTTCCATTTATTTCCATTTATTAACATTAAATAACATTACTTAAAACAACCATATTAATTTTACTACAGCTACAGCCAAGGTCTTATTTTCTTCAGTTTTATATGTAGAACCAGTCAGTCACTGGTTTCGTAATCAACGAAAACAATGCTGTGTCATTTCCTCGTGTGTTTTAATATTCTACGTATTATTAATAAATTGTATTGCTCATTTTGCACACATAAACATTAATTCAATAAAAAGACATTCAGTAATAAACAATAATGAATCTTTTGTACACAAGAGAAATGACGCTGTTTACACGATTATGCCCGTCGTCTGCAAGTTGGCGGGCCGTTAAAACCCGTCGAAATTCAAGTTTCCGCCGTCAAAATTTTTATTCATTTATTTTTTTGTGTGTTCCAATAAAATACGTTAAGAATTAAAAACTCGCGAAATTTGAGAAGCTACTATACGACATTTAACCCTTCAATATGTCTTTAAAGAGACCATGATGCAGAGAAAGTGGTGCTAGTGCTTCCAAGCATAAGCACAAGTCACTATCTATCTAGGAAAAGGGTGAATTTCCATGGTCCGGCACCGGTCAGGTCCCGAGGTTGCCGGACTAGAGAGGTACAACCTGTACTACATATCATGGATGTTTATAATGGAATTTTCAGGAAGAGGTTATAAGCTGGAGAAAACAGCAAAGATGTGCAGTACAATGTGTTCACATATCAGGTGAACACATTGTACCGCACATCTTTTATAGAGGGATTTATATCCAAGAAAACACTGATAACATTTCAAAATGCTTAATAATCTTTAACAAAGATACTGTATACACTGTACAGTATATGTAACATGTGTAAGTGTCCTATCAACAGTAGTATAGCACCTGACAACCTTCATCTGAAAATTAAGTACAAGGTACTAATTTATTCTTCAAAGCCCAATAGTCGTTAGCTTTAAGCTTCATCTCAGAATAAAGTAAAAGAACTGCACGACAGTTTTAAAGACTGTCTTTTTTTTTCTCCTACAAAAGTTATTCTGGTCAAAGCAGATTTTCTTATGTGTAGAAGGTGAGTTTGGTATATCAAAATAAAAAACAAAAATGACCATAAAAATACAGCACATACAGACAACAATCCAGACCTGACACTGCAAACACCTCCACGTTAGTTTCTGCTGTGACCAACAAGCTAAGAGGTGAATTTAAGAGAAGGTAGTAAGTAGGAAGGATTCTAATTAGTTGAAAATAAGATCAATAAAGTAAAAACAAAATATATACAGGTATATATAATGAAAGTTCACTAAGATATGTATAGACACAGACAACCATATTCAAGGATGCAAAGATGGATATTAGCCAACATTAATATAAGTGTGAGAAGCAAGATGGTCTCTGGATGCAGGAGGAAGGAACAAATCAGGAGAGTGGGAAGTGACATGCTTTAAAGCAGGAAAAAATCACACACACAGAACTAAATGAAAGATGTGTCAAGAAGGGAATGAATCCAGGTCTCATTATATATTAAAGATATAATGCGACAATAAGACGTGAAAGACTGATAAAAAGTGTGGAAAATTCAAAGGAGGCTGGTAGTAAAGAGGGAGAAGACCAAGAAGAAAAGAAAATAGGGTGAAGAGCACACTAGAATGGAGATGAATAGACGTCTAGAAGCAACATTGTGTACGATTGACCACAGAACTTATCTTTGGGTAATTCTTGTGGATGGATGGGCTGGTGATGGGTGATGCTCCCTTATGTGAAGCAACAGGGGTAATGAATTTACTTTTTTAAGGTAAACTATGTTATGCTCATTCACTTTTGTCCTTAATGGAAAATGGATGCTATGAGGTAAATATACAGATGAACTTTCAAATGGTTGTAAGTGACATCATTTTATACCCCAGAAAATATTCCCCGGTCACCTAAAGAATCACCACCCCAGCATAATTTACCTATAGAATAACCTCCATAACACTACTTAGGGGGGGATGAGGTTAGGTTACCCGGTAGGTTAAGTTAAGTTAAGTTAAGTTAAGTTAAGTTAGGTCAGCATAAGGGTGGTTAATCTTTAAGTGAAATAAGCTGGGGTGGAGATTCTTCAGGTCACCCACTTTCCCTAAAAACACCAGAAATTCGCAAAAGACACCAAAACTAACATCACAAGTGCACTGCTATTCTCGCCTTACCCAGGTACAGTACAATACCCTCACTCATCCACAGTTACCAGGAAGAACATCAGTGACTGAACCTCTCAGAATCCATGCCCCATGTGGATCACCTAACCAGCTAGAAGATTACGCAGAATTTTAACAGGCAGGTAAAACAACAGGGACAACAGAGCTCTATGGCTGAAGTGCAGTACATACCCCATCGAGATTTTAATAATAGAATATGTGAATCTGGAATTTAGTACAGGATAAAATTTTGATAAGAAAGTGCTACAGAAGAAACTAAGAAAAAAAAAGGGATATCAAGGAAAGGCGGTGTTGACTTGATGTAGACATACCATGCCATAAGTACGTGGATCATAGCTCCTGCCCCTTCCACGACCTCCTCCCCTCATTTTCGCCTCAACAGTTTATGATCCCGTCACAAACTCAACCTTTCAACGGAATTCCAGTTTCATTTGTAGGACCATCATAGTCATGCTTAATTTGAAACACAATTAATGTTTGTTTTTTCACTGAAAGAGAGAAAAACAACTATGCATAATACCTACTAGACATATCCCCCACTGTTGACCTAAAACCAAATACCTGTAGTACAGTACGTAGTGTATATCACTTCCCAGAGAATATCAATTAGGGTTACT